GCAAACAAGGAATAGAAAGGAGTTTCCTTAACATAGCCAAGTGTATCTGCAAAAACCTACAGGAAACGTAATTAATGGTGAACTTTTAGTAGCATTTTCTTTAATGTCAGGATCAACAAAGAGTGTCCACTATTCTGCTTCTATTCAACCTTGTACTGGAAATCCAACCCCAAGAAATAGATCAGGAAAAAGATATAAGTGTTATAAGGATCAGAAAATAAGAAAACCCAGTTGTTACATTCTGATGATATAGTTGTAAAAATGGAAAATCCAAGAAAACTTACAAATTACAAGGATTAATAATTAGAGTTCAATAAGGTTTCAGGATATAGGATCAATATGAAAAAAATCAGTGGTTCCTATATACAAGCAGCAACCACTTAGAATAAGATAATCTTTAAAAAGATACCATTTGCAATAGCAACAAAAATATTATGGTGCCTAGGAATGAATCTAATAAAACACATGTAGACATTTACGAAGAATAGTGTAAAGATTTATTAAAAACAAAAGTAAATGAAGTGATAAACCATGTTCATGATTAGGAAGAAACAATATTATAAAATGTGATTCTCCCAGAATTAATACATAAATTCTATTAACAACAATTTGAATCCCAGAACAAGTTTTTAGGAAAGTTGATAGGCTTATCTCAAAATTCATGTGATGAGTAAATGGCCCAGAATTGCAAGAATAATTTTGAGGAAGGTATGGAGGTGTAGGAATTAATTTACCAGATAGCAAGACTGCATAACACTAGAGTAATAGGGCTTCCCTGGTGGCACAGTGTTTGAGAATCTGCCTGCCGATGCAGGGGACACAGGTTCACGACCCGGCCCGGGAGGATTCCACATGCCGCAGAGTGGCTGGGCCCGTGAACCATGGCCGCTGGGCCTGTGCGTCCGGAGCCTGTGCTCCGCGATGGGAGAGGCCACATCAGTGAGAGGCCTGTGTACTGCAAAAAAACAAAACAAAACAAAACAAAAAACTAGAGTAATAAAACAGGGGACATTGGAGCACGGATAGATAAAGAGACCACTGGACTGGAATAGAAGCCCAGACTTAGGACTTGTGCTTATGTAGAGACTCAGATGGCATAAAAGATAAGCAAATCAGGGATGAGTTATTCAGATCCAGAATGGATTCATTAGGACAATGAAAATTAAAATGGCAACAATAAATTATTTTATGCTCATCAAATTGTCAAAAATTAAATACCTGACAATACTAGGTAATGATTAAGGAGTGAAGTCCTACACTGCTGACTGGGGTAGACATTGGTACCACCGCTTTGAGAGCAATTTATCAGTATTGAGAAAATGTTAAGATATGTGTCCCATATGATCCAATAATTTCACTTCTAGATAGACATCCTGGAGAAAGTCTTGCAAACACTTAAAATGTGAAACTTGCATAAGAATATTCATTGCAGAGTCATTTATAATAGTGGAAATGGAGAGTTGATCAACAAATAAATTTTACATAGGTACACAACTGCATACGGCAGATAAAAACCAATCAACTGGAGCTATTTGGATCTCAAAAACCCAATGCTGAATGACAAAAAATCAAGGTGAGTAATGATCTATGTTATTATCTATGTAAAATTTATAAACACCAGAAAAATTATATATACTGTTTATAGATACATATGTATGAAGTAAATGCATTTTTTAAATGGCCAGGAGGATATACAACTGCAGGATTGTGGTCACCACTGGAGAGGCAGATAGAGAATTTGGTTATTGAGGGATGCCAGTTTCCTGCATCCATCATGTTTCATTTATTAAAAAGAAAAGGTATGCAAATGTAAAATAGATAGCTAGTGGGAAGCAGCCGCATAGCACAGGGAGATCAGCTCGGTGCTTTGTGACCACCTAGAGAGGTGGGATAGGGAGGGTGGGAGGGAGGGAGATGCAAGAGGGAAGAGATATGGGAACATATATGTATAACTGATTCACTTTGTTATACAGCAGAAACTGACACACCATTGTAAAGCAATTATACTCCAATAAAGATGTTAAAAAAAAAAAGGTATGGAAAAAAGGTAATATTTGTGAAATTTGGGTGTTGGTAAGTGGATCTTTGTTGTATCATCCTCCCTAATTTTCAAGTGTGTATGAAATATTTTATGCAATAGACAAAATATTATAAATGGAAGAGTCAATGACAGCTGGAGTTCTAAGTGGAGACATGGGATAATTCCAGGTAGGAAGAAGCAAACAAAAGAAAACGTGCATTGTCGGTGCTGAGATTTGTGGCTTAAACTTCATTTGGGAGAGTCGGTTGTTTATCAGATTTGGAACCTCTCATCTTCGCTGTTCCCAGAAGGCCCAAGGAACTTCTGAGTGCTTCCGAGCATGTTTGCATTTTTAAAGCTTGGATCTGGCAAATGGCTGAAGACTGGAGGAACTTGAGGGCAGTGGAAAGAGAAGATGTAGAATTTAGCTGGGTTGGAAGCAAGATGTCAGTTTTGATTTAGAATTAGTAGGAAATAAAATCAGAGAATATGTTGAGAGAGGAGTACAAGAATGCATGCCTGGGAAAGAAACGCCTTGGATGAGTATTCTAAGCCAAATATTTTAGCATGTGTCTGCGTTAGTATTTAGATTGCTGTTTTTTTCCTTCTTTAAAAAAAATATGTCCTAATAAAGTTTGCTGAAACAAAGAAAACCGCCCCCCCAAACTTACATTATATATAAAATACGTGTTTCACATATATAGAAAAAGACCCTCCAAAAATCATTGCTTAGGAAGTAATTTATTGATTCAATTTAAATTAACCATTGCTACCATTGCAAAAGCAGTTGCTCTGAAAAAGTATTGAAAAATATATCATGAGATTACATAGTTCAGTAACAATATCAATATGGATCATGTGAAGCAAAACTACTGGCAAATGTCATTGAAGCTCATTTTATAATTTCTAATAATTTATGCAGCGAATGTGTGTCACCTTAAAAACGTACCTGTGACGTTTACAAATTCTTTCAAACACATTTATAAATACAGTAATAAAAATTCCTGAGCTCCCTTAGCTTATACCAGTGTTCGCCAACCAACAATCCATGTGGTGTTTGACCAACACCCTCTAGCCTTTACTTAAAAAATATTTTAAGTAATAATAATAATAATCGCATTCGTAAAAGTATCTGTGCTTCAAGTCTGTTTGTAAGTGTAAGTTTTAATGTGAACCTGATCATAATAAGAGAAAAATGCTTAACACTTGTATGGGCAGCAGGAGTTGAGGGGTGAGGTGCGTAGGCGAGGTTGTAGACAAAAGAATCCTAATTTAAGTGTCGAGACCTCCAAAGTAGAATATGTTTTGTAGTACGGGTTTTGTCTCATTTGCATTCTTCAGAAGGATTCTCAGAAGTAAATCTGCAAGAATCTGCTTCCCTGGCCAGTAAGGTCCTATTGGAGGCTTTTCAAAAACCCCATTTCCTATAGTCCTGCCCTATCTCCCAGCCCCAAGATTTCAAGGTTTCTGTTAAATAGATATTATATCTCCCAGTCCCTCAAAATAGTGGGGGATTTAGAATGTGTAAAAGTTGGTTAGTAAGTTGTAGAGTTTAGTGGGGTTAAGGTTTCAGATATGGTTCTGGCAAGATGTGGCAACATATAATTTCTGTTTTCTTTTAGGAAAGCACATGTGATAATTTTGGAAAATTAGCTACACATTACTTTTCCAACTCGTCATTAATTATATGAACACCGTGTCTGGTGACTAACACTACAATTTTTTCCAGCTTAGAAGTAAAATTGTGTCCAGTAATTAAAGGCAGATGGCACCAATGTAAGCATGGGGGAGTCAGTGTTTCTTTGACAGAAGCCAAGTTTTAGGGAGTGATACTCACTAAATGAGAAATTTCTCATTCCTTGGTAAGACATGGCATTAGGGGATTTAGGAGGCAAAGAAGAATTTGTAAAGCAAACCCCACACCATCCCACAATTCTGTAACACAAGCATGAACAGTAGGTAAAGATTTCTAGATCTAGATCCATTAAAAGTAAAAAGTTATCATTTTACACTTAATCCAATGAATTTGGTCAGAAAAGATGTTGTTAGTAATATGGATGAATCATACTGTTCAAAAGCATCCCATTTTTTAATGGCTTGATTTTACCTTTATTTTATAATACTTAAATGAGCTTCTCTGATCTGATCTCCATGTGCCTGGTTCCATCTCACGTTATTTTTTAGCAGCTTCTTGTGTGAGGGATGGGTGAAGGAAGGAGATTATGTTTTGCAATCATATGGAAGGGTGAAGACAAAGGAGGAAAATTGTTTTGGTCCAATTTACATAAACAATTTCTGGATTATAGATCCTTAGCAGCAAAAATCCATCAAGAAAATTGTTTCAGCCATGAATGTGTTATTTTGCTATTTACATATCAAATAAAAATAAATAGAGGAAGGGGAGGCAAGGGGAATAAACATTTATTGAGCCAGGCACTGAGCTGGGTGTTTTCAACAGCATGAATAGAAATATAATGATCTATGCTACTGGGATGATTTTGTTTGGCAAGCCTTGTTTCTGGCGTGCAGTAAAAATGAAGATGTTCTGGCAATAGCAATTAGCAGAATCTCCCATACTGCTGACAAGGATTTAACTGTCCATGTTGCCCCCTCAAAATGGAAGGAGACAAATGAATAAATCCATGGGAAAGAGAAAGCACAATGTGCAATAACCAAAGATTTACAGAATTAAAGATGCAAGATGAATCAGATGACTATAGTCTTCTATAATTCTTTAAGGCTAAAAAAATAGGCATTACAATAAGTTCATGTAGAAATGAGTTTTTAAAATCAAAACAAGATTATTTCTGATATATGGCTGATTTTCCCCATACCATAATATCTTTGATGGTTAAAATCAAATAAGGAGGGGCTTCCCTGGTGGCGCAGTGGTTGAGAGTCTGCCTGCCGATGCAGGGGACACAGGTTCGTGCCCCGGTCTGGGAGGATCCCACATGCCACGGAGCGGCTGGACCCGTGAGCCATGGCCGCTGAGCCTGCGCGTCCGGAGCCTGTGCTCCGCAACGGGAGAGCCCACATCAGTGACGGCAAAAAAAAAAAAAAAAAAATCAAATAAGGAAAAGATTTATTTCTAGGGGCTTTAGGGAAGTCAAATTGTGAGAAATGTCGCTATCGTGGCTTTGGGTAACCACCTTGAGGTGACTTACGATTGGGAAAAAATCTGCATCTATAGTTTTGTTGGTTTTTTACCTGGTGAATTACTATGTATTCTTTCTGGCTCTTATTCATCAGCCAGTTTTTATAAAAGGGAAAAATGGTTATTGAGAAAACCTAGCATAAACCTACTGACTGGTGAATTAGAAGGTGTATTCTCATGTAAAAACAAAACCAAACCCCAGTAACATATTATAACAATCACTTCTAATTTCCTATGTAATGTTTAAGAATTTTGCTTGGCATTTTCTAGGAAGAGAGAAAAAGCAGAGGTAGTGGTAGCTTTGAAAATATGGAACCTTTTGCTATTCCATAGCCTTCACTTCAATATGGCTTTACAGGAGACACAGATCACCTAACAGTCCGGTTCTATAGGTTGCTTCGGTTTCCATGTGAGACACAGAAATTGTCTGAAATGACTGATCAAGCAGAAGAACAAGCCTCATGATGCAAATAACATTCAAGAAGTATAAGAGGTCACGTGAAGCAAAGCTGGGGGGGCTGACTTTTAAACAGTTGTTGGATTGTACGTTAAACACTTACCCCAGAGCAGCTGTATGAGGGCAACTTACACTACTTCTAGACAAAGATTAAGAAAAGAATGTGTACATTCATGGTTTCATCAGAAAGATATGATTACATATTTTTTTCAGTTTTGTTTTCCAGACGTAGAAACAATCATACTGGAATACATATACATAGATTCTAAGTCATTAAATAATTATTTTCTTTTGTATTACATGGTGAGTTTCACAACCGGAGGATTATATATTTCAATGTGTCATACAGTTTTTGAACCACATAAAGCAATATAATATAAAATCATATAACAGTTACTTTAAAGTCAGGAATATCACATGGCAAATACACAACTATGGCACTGAAAATAGTCGAAGTGGGAGATGTGACATCTTTCATTTCTAAATGATAAGCAGTTTGAAGGAAGGATATTAGAACAAGAAGGGAGGTAGTTACTTTTAAAACTTCAAAATCATTTTATCAGGAATTTTATAAAACAAATTGCTGTTCAGGAGAATCTTTGCCATATAGTTTTTCAATTTCAGATAACACAACAACAAGATATTTCCCCCCCTCAGGATTTGTGAAATTTGCATGGAAAAAACTCAGACTGGACTTTGAAGTGTATCCAGGTGAAACATAATTTGACCATAACTATTAAACTATCATTTTTGATATTACTACTTAAGAAGCTAAAGTTTTTAGAGTTAAGTGTTTTTTCTTTTTAATCAGCAGCAGGTAAAAAGTTAACTAATAGACTGTGATTATCTAAGGGTCTCTCTCTTCACTGACAACAACCATGTGAACAGCACATGTTTTTCCCCTTTACACATCTCAGTGCTTCCTGACATGAAATCAGAGCATAACTCAAAGGAATCAATGTGGACAAAACAGTCATGGGCATATGGTATTGTGAGTTACGTGCAATCTCTTAGCCATAAACTCAGAACACTGAATAGATTATAGAGTGACTATGTCCAATAAAATCTGGGTTCAGCAGGCTACTCTCGGCATTTTGTGGAATCCTAAACTGCCCAAACATTTGGAAACACCCTTTCTATCACTTTCCTTTTATTGAAATAGATACCATGTAATGGTCTCAGACCAAAAATCGCTTTCTTGAGAGACACAAATCTAGGGAGAGAACTCCTGTTTGATTTGCAGAGGGCATGTATACTGATCATGAAATAAGTCCAGGCCATAACTATAAGTAGAACTTCTGGTTAGGTCATAAGCTCTCAAGCAATCATTTTGTATTTTTAAGTTTCTGCTTAAGACCTCCACGGCCGAGTCATCAATGTAGCTGGATTTATTAATGGCCCTTGAATGAATGAATTGGGCTAGAATATCTAAGCCTGAGGACCTTTAAATGGGGTAACTTGTGACCCTCAATCTGGGCCTTGATATCTGTGTGGCCGACTTAACATCTGACTCAGTCCTTTGACTCAGGCCAAAGTCATCGTTTATGTGTAATTTAGTTTCTTGAAAATCCTATGGTTGCTACTGCACATAATGAACTCTCAGGAAAAATAAAGGCCCTGGAGTGAGAGCATAAGAAGCCTACAAGATGGACAGCTAAGCAGAAGAGAAGAAGCAAGGATGCTAACTGAAATCGATCTGACTTGGAGGAATGGATCTGTTTTTCTCTTCAGCGGTGTCACAGCCACATTGTCCACTGCTTCAGGTTAAGGCCACACCAGCAACATTTCCCTGCACTGTCCCTGGGCCTTCTACGGAAACCCTGGACTTTACTTAGATCATGAGCATCAAAGACAGTTAGAGCCGGAAGGGGTCTTAGAAATATTTTAGGCCAATGCACTCGTTTAACAGGTGAGGAAACTAGTGGCTAGAGTTTAAAGGACTTGCCTAAGATCACACAGCCTGTTTAGTGGCAGCAGGATGACCTCAACCTAGAAATTGAGTGCTCAGCCCACTACCCTAGCAACAACACAATGATGCTTGGGCTGAAAAAGGAGAAAAAGAAATTGGTTCACTGAAGTACACGCGAGGCATTCATCAATGACAAATCTACGTTAGCAACCCTGCGGATGGTAACCCAGAGGCCTTTACATCTTTCTGCATGTGTGCAAGTTTCCACGGTGCATGCATTGCCCTTCTCAGGCCCTGGCATGCAAGTCCAAGCTATTCAGAAGTACATTAATATGTTTTCAAATTGAGGGTCTCAAGTAACAGGGTGGCAGGCTTATTCCAAAATCCTAGCCAGAGTCAATTTCTTATCAAAGTAAGTTACACTATTCACATCAGCTCTGTGGCAATTCAATTAAACAATAAATTAAAATCCACTCGATAGTTGCTGATTGGACCTTAGACCGTTTATTCATTCTGTTTCTGGCTTTTTCATTCGTTTATCTAAAATGTAAGATTCACTTTCTAATCGATACACTTTTCTTGTGAAAATGAAACTTCAAAAAAACAAAAAGTAAAGAAAGGCACTTTGTAAGATGTGTACAAATCTGTTTCTTTCATGTCTACTCTAAGGAGATAGTAAAATTACTACAGGCAGCGGCAAGTCTTTCTGCCAGTGATGGGCAGTGGTGGGCAGCCTGGAGAAAGAGGCAGATTTGGGGACGGACCCTCCTTAGCCAAGCTGCACCCTGGGGCTCAGGTGCCTCTGGTTGTTCATCGGATTCTCCCGTTCAGTTGGGTCACTACAGGACAGTCAAACTCCTTCAACTCGTACAGATGGTAAGGGATTGACCAGCTTTGGACCAAACCAGTGAAAGCAAGTATTTAGTACATAACTGCCTACCAGGATTGGCCTTAGGCACTTAGGAGATGGAGAGTCTGTTAAATGTCAGTGACATGGCTGATTATAACTTGTGCTCATTTGAGGTGCCTTGTACCCATTTGCTAAAACTGACCAGAGGAGATTTTGCAGTTTGAGTCATAAGCTTCCATAAATCATCCATTGGCTATCCCTTTTCCGTGTGCTATGTAACGTGAATATTTAGGTGTTTGTTTATAAAAATATGACCTTTATAATTAAGAACTTAAGGCTTTTAAAGCCAAATGTGCAATGGTGGTACATAATCCATGGGAGAAAAGAAAACAAACCAGAATCAGCCGCCTGATATAAGAAAAGTGTTTTTCTTTCTAAAAATCAAAGCCTCTTTCAACGTCTTTTAAAAAATATCTCATGAAAAAAAAAAATCTCATGCCTCTTCTCTCTACATGCATATTTGTACATAATCTTAGACTATGATTCTATACCTACATGATGTATAAAATGCATGTGTGATATGTTAAGATCAGTTGGACTTGATGATTTGCAAGTGAAATAAAATGAGCACATCCCTGAAGAGGACTTGTATTTCTATGATAAAGGGTAACTATTTATTAGCTTAATTATGATACAAGGCATTGGTTAATTATCTTTGCAGGACACTATTCAGTGAATCATGGAATCAAGGAGTCGGAGTTTAAAAGGACATTAGAGATTTTCCGGCCTAACATTTCCTTCAGAGGAAACTGAGGTCCAGAGAAGGGAGTTGATCTGTCTAAGGTAACATAATTAGCATTAGAAGCTGGGTCTCTTGACCCCCAATCTGCATACTTTCATTCGACTAGGGAATTCCTTAACAGAAAATAGGCTAGACCATGAAAAATACATAGTTTATTAAAGAGTGCTAACTGACCATAGACTTATAGCCTTGGCTTTAGTTAACAAGTGGTAGTAATTTACTTGCTAACTGGTGTTTTTTTTAAGGATTTAGTTTGAGTCTTCAGCCATGACATTTTTTTCCATATATGCCAAATTATATATCAAAAGCAGACTAGTTTTGAATTTTCATACTATCAGACTGATTGATATACATCTTGGAGGAGATTGGACTATTTTTGGGAAAGGTTTAGTCTGTACCGTCTGTGAAGAGCAGAGTCTTTTGTCAATGCCTCTCAAGGTGGAATATATTCCCGGACCTCTTAGAAGTTGTGTGTACTTTTTCAGGTCATTCTCTACCATTATGGGAATCCTAAACCACTAATATGTTTTAAAAAATGATGCCTTTTTCTTACAGTACCGTTCAGTGCAAGTCAAACAGACTCAACCTGTACTTTCCAGGAGAGGATCGCTTCATGCACTAAAATAAGCTTTAGTGGAAATGATCGTCTAGGGCAATGCTTCTCAAACTTCACTGCGCACATGAATCATCTGGGGATCCTAGCAAAATGCAGATTCTGAGGCGGGGGTGGGGTGGAGATTCTGCATTTCCAAGCAGCGCCCAGGTGACGCTGATGCAGCTGGTCAGACCATATTTTGAGTAACAAGGATCTAGGGGATTGAATAAACTTGGACCACTTTCCCAAATGGCCCCCTCACTCTTAACATGTTGTTTGCATATTGGGAGAATATAGAGCCTCAGATTTATTACTTTTGCATTTCTGGAAGCTCTGGCAATGTGTTCACTTTCACACATCAGGCCACTTCTGAGTCCAGCTCCTATCCGCATGGACTTATTGGGCTGGAATATTTAACTCACAGAGGGAGCTCAAATTCTCTATGTTCCAGCTAGTGAGCAGATACAGAAATGGATTTGCTGTCAGGTGAAATGGAAATAGAGGCAGGCAGTTCGATGAGTCATGGATGTTCTCTTTAAAATGGAGATCCAGGCTTTTGACCGCTCTTGGAGAGCCTGCCCTTGGAACTGACTTGGGGCTTCCAACTACCATACCCTGGCCTTTGTAGTGGTTCCCACTAATCCACAGATGCCTGGTTTCTTGGAACTTTTCTTTGGATACTTCTGACGTGAGTGCTCTCCCTGCCCCTGCCAAAATTTTGCAAGTGGATCTACTGGATCTACTCCAGAGAGACACGAACTCCTGGCTTTACTTAAAATGTCCTTGCTGTCCAAGATTGTTCAGAAAAGCAGAACAAGAACCCTCTCTCTTGGACAGTGCGTTAGATGTTACCACTCTACTTTTTCATTGTAGCTTTATGATTATTCATCCAGAGAGGAGCAGAAGCCCCGGAGTAGCCCTAAATTACAAGAGAAGTAATTTCTGGTCTGTGGAGAGCCCTAAAACTCTAGCTCTATGATTGTTGTTTAAAGTATCCTGGAGATAAAAAGAATCAGCTAAACTATACTACACTGTGTTGGAAACTGAATATTGTCATCCGCTTCATATTCCTCAGTGGGCTTTGGTTTGGTGTGGCATTTTATTCCACAAACAGGGACTGCATATATCACTCTGTACTGTAAATACTCCTTATAATCACATAACGGAAAATACTGTACCCACTGAATAGGTAAACAGCTGTACTGGGAAGGTAGAAAACAGTGTTTTACTTACCTAAGTGATAGAAAAATAGTCTTCAAAAATACATTGCTCAACTTACGGGTTTATATTAAAGTAGAATTTGTATGTACAGTAAGGCAGTACTTCCGTTAGCGATGATCTTTTAAATTAAAGTTAGTCTTTGGGGATTTTTTTTCACTAACAGAAGACTAGGGTGTGTAATAAATTATCATGCTGAAATGGAGGAAAACATTTTAGAAGGATTCACCACATGAAACTCATTTTCCTCTTATGTAAGAAAATTTCACTTTCTAAAACTCTATTCTCCAGAAACTTCAGAATGAAATACAATTTAGCGGGGGTGGGGGGGAATCCATGCTTAATAAATTCAAACTATTTTAAGAAAAAATCGGAGGCATCCTTTTTATTTGCATATTGGCAATGCGTCATTAAGGTAATAGGAACGGATGTAAACAATTTGTCAGGTGTTCTAGAATGCACTCTTTTTTTAAAATGTGTTAATTTGGTTAATCCTAATAAAATGAAAGAGGAGTGCTAAAGGTTAAGCAGCTGGTCCTCAAAAGTGGTTTTCATGGCATTTTTCTCATATCTACCATCTTCCTGTGGTAAACAGTTTTGACTAGTTGATATCCTTCTGTCATATACCAGACCATGAAAGCCTGTTCCAGGGGATATACCCATTGGCACTGGCCCTCAAGAACACTAAGCAATGTGCTTTTATTTCATTGAACACATAATTTTATAACTGATAGCAAAACGTAACTCTACAAATCACACAAAACTAAACGATTTGTTCTGGAATCAACTGTTGGAGAAAGAGGCAACTGGTTGAAAATGGATCATGAAGACGAGTGACCTGGGAGTTTGGTAGTGCCATTCTAACCCCGTTCTCAAGCCTTCTCTGGTAGAGTGCATTTCATGTACTCTGTAGTGTTACCTGAAGGAAAATCACATTTTAACCCATCCTTCCATGAATCAAGCTCTCACTGAAAGGGGTGCATAAAACCTGTGGGATGCAGGTAATCCAGCGCACCGAGCTGGAGTCTGCAGTTGCTCGGGGCCGCGGGGAAGGAGGCCAGGTCTACCGCGGCTGGATTCTGTGGCAGGGATGGCGGGGCCTCCTTGGCTGGTTCTTCAAACGGAGCCAGGTTTTGCGCTCGCCGATCCTGCACCAACACCAGGATGTTGCTATCCATCACCCGGGACACCTTCGAGTACTCCTTGCTGGTTTCAGGGGTGCTGGTCTTCTCCGCCCGGCCGCTGTTCTCGTTTTGTTTCGGGAGCAGCGCCAGCGCTCCATCTTTGCTGACTTTGTGGATCTCCACGTACTCCAAGGGTTTAGCAGAGGTCAAGGGGGTCTTGTCCTGCGGCAGCAGCCGTGCCGCATCTTGGTCAGTCTTGGAACGGAAGCTTTCTGACTCCCCGTGCTCAGCTGCCTTTCCTTCCCCGCCAGTCTCAATGGTTTGCGAGGGTTTTAAAGCACGTGTGTCTGTTTTGTCCAACAAAGTGGGTGCAGCACCTGCCGTGCCCAGGCCCAGCTTACACACAACAGCAACGCTGTGGTAAGATGACCTGGAGTAGTGCAGGCCGGGGGGCTGCAGCAAAGGCCACGTTGAAGATTGGGATCCGCTGACATGAAAAGAGGGGATTTTGCCTTCCACGCTTGTGCCCTGAGGGCCTTGGGGCTGGGTAACGTTTGTTTCAGGTTTCTCTGCCTTCTCAAGGCCCTCAGGAGTGTGGAACTTGGAGGGATTGGCCCGAGGTTCATCACACTTTTCAGACAAAAGGGAAGGGCTGTCGCAGCTGCCCCGGCCAGAGTCACTGTCGGGATCCGAGTGCGTGGGCTTCACGCCTTGCCCCGGGTGTTCTTTGGAGTGAGCTGGCATCAGCGGCTGGTCCCCACTGTCATCCACCTCTAAGAACTCCACCAGTAAGTCCTCGCAGTCGGAAGTGGGAGGGAAGTCTTGGCATCCCAGGGCGCTCAGAAGTTCCTCGGACTTGCCCTTCTATTAAAACACAGACACAAGGCAAGAAGGCCGTCAGGTTCATAACATTCCAAATGGACATCGTAGCCAAGTCTGTGTTCCTGACTACGGGCAGGTGGGATGTGGCCACGGCCTCGCAGAATTTCCCAAACGTCAGACATCTGTGTCCCAGGCCATCTAGAATCACCTCCTGGACTATTACTCACCTAATATTTTTCTTTAAGTCAATTCACGATTTTAACTTAGTCTTTCTCTAAGCAATAATGATCACGAGTTGAATGGGCAAGTAGTATATGTGCATATAATAAAAATATAACTATTAAATAAGAAAAGCTTGGGAAACATCTAAACCCATAGTGCTCATGCGTGCACTTGGTACTGGGACTCACTAGTTCTGAAATCGGGTTGCTGGCCTCCTAACTGGCTCGCTCACCCCACGTTCTGGAGTCTGGTAGTGGGAAGCTGATTCTCATCTTTTCCTTCTTCTCTCCCTTCTCCTCTTCCTTGCTTCTCCCTCCCTGTCCCTCCCTTCGCCTCCCATCCCACTCCTTCCTTTCCTTCTGCTCCATTTCCCCTCCCTCCCCTCCCTCCCCCGCTTCCTGCCAGCCCATATTCCCTCCATCTCCTTGGGTTCCTCTCCCTCCTCCTTCTCTCTATCCTCCTCTCCCCCCATTTCTCCTCCGGCCTCCTCTTCTTATTTTCCACGCTTCTCCAGATGCTCTGACTTAGGTCAGGGACTGGTGCCTAAATCTTGGCTCTATTACTTATTAAAGGCTCTATGACTTTGGATAAGCTGTTCTGTGATCCTCAGTTTCTCCATTTGTAAAATGAGAATAATAGCACCCATCTGGGAAAGTTCTTTTGAGAATTAGGGGTAATGGCATTAAAAATCCAAGAACGTTTTCTTCTGACACGAAAAGCAGTTTTTAAAAGTCATTAAGTCCCTGTGGCTACGAGGTCAAATTGCGAGCTAAACAATAATTCATTTAGTTAGCTGAGATGTTCATGCTGGGTCTATAAAGGTCAGTGCTAGAGACTGGATAGCAGAATAAGAGCCCTAATTCTGGGGCTCTAGTTCCTGCTCTGATATCTGCAATCAGAGTGAATGCCGTCAAGCCAAATTCCCCAGGACTCACTCTTCACCTTCTTGTGCTTTTGGCCTCACAGCGGCTGGGGTCAAGCGACAATGTGTAGGGGACTGCTTTTATATACATCAGTGTTAAGCAGAAGGTCAAATTGAAACTATAGATTTCAACCTGCAGAGAAATTAAAAATGTTCTAACACCTCTTTTCATTGGAAACACTTAAATTTCATTCCCACTTGAATCGGTCTAAATGGGCCCTGGCAAACACCAGTTCCACTGTACTGAACCAGTCTTAACTGAGCTCTCAAACTGAGCAAAAACTGCAATAGGATATTCTGTTACCATGGCCTTCTGTAAGGAACATTCGAGTGAGAGCTTACACCAAAGTATGACGGAGGGGCTGGTGGTAGGTTCCTCTTTGGTATTCATCAAATATTCACCCTCTTTCTCAATCGATTATTTGTACAAAATGTTTTAGATGGGGCTTATGAAAAGAGCTGATAAGCCTAGCAAGCATTCCTATGTGTTCTGAGGTTTTCTTGGCTTTCTTTCATTGTCCTCTGGCACTCAGTATCTGATGGTAAGTACCCTCATGCTTCCCACATCTTTCTGTAAACACACCTGCTGAAGAGGAGGGACAGCTGGTCAAGGATGGCCGAGCTGACCAGGCCGCACTGACGGGAACTGTGTGCTCATGTGTAAAGATAACGAGTATAGAGAAGCTGGTCACAATACATTCTTACCGCTGGTACTTACCTCCAGCAGGTGAGTATCAAATCCTTTTATTTTTGGCCCAGGAACCGGAGGGAGGATGCAGGTCACCATGCTATAAAAAGATTTGTGAGATAAGATAAATGACACGTGTTTTCACTTTGTAATTTTTGAAAGATTAGCGTTATCTCCAAATAGCTGCTACCTGGACTATGGTAGATAGAAGTTAGAGTTCCGAGGCTACGTGAAACTAACAATCAGTGGTGAGGACAATGAATACTTCTAGGGGTCAACATCAAAATGAATTCTTGCGGGCTTCCCTGGTGGCGCAGTGGTTGAGAATCTGCCTGCCCATGCAGGGGAACATGGGTTCGTGCCCCGGTCCGGGAGGATCCCACATGCCGTGGAGCGGTTGGGCCCGTGGGCCATGGCCGCTGAGCCTGCGTGTCCACAAGGGGAGGGGCCGCAGCAGTGAGAGGCCCGCGTACCATAAAAAAAAAAAAAAAAAAGAATTCTCGCTAATTAACTCTGGCTGATTCTGAAGGGACTAGGGGATTATTTGCTGTTCTTGCCAGATTTTTACTATTTCACAACTGTGAGCCTCCATTTGATGGAAAGAGCATCAACTTCAAATGTGTCTATTCTACTTTTGCTAGCACTGATAAAAGTTTTTAATGGTGAACACACTGCAACTAATGGCTAAAATGAGGTGCTTGAATTATCTGTAGGTTTCCATCATTTTTGTATTGTCTTTCTTGGCCATTATCCCTGACAACCATGATTGGGAGGAGGGTTGATAGACAGTGAAGTACCTGTAGCCCTTCAAAGCCACTGCCCAGACCATAATCAAACAGATGACAGCAGAAAGAACGGCCACAAAGATCCACACGGTTGCATCTGTCATTGAGAAGTCTGAAAAGCAAACAGCCAGAAAGTTTTGCTCACATACAGCATCATTAAAAACAAACAAACAAAACAAATCAATGAAACTTTTGAACATAAGTTCCGCCCCTCCACACCTTTTCTGATTTGAACATCAATCCAGAGTAACATTAATGATGGATTTAATTTTTTCCAATATCATTAAATTTTAAAGTGGCCTGTATTTTATAGTTCTCTAAAATTTTCAAGATCCTTAAAAATATTATTTGATTTGATACTTATATAGGAAGTCCAAGGGTACATGGTCAGTTGCAGTAATAATAATTTAAAAAGCTAACATTTATTAAGTTCTCAGTAAAAGCCATATGATGTTAAGCTCTTTACATACATTGCCTGTATGTAAAGATGAGGAACTGAGACTGTAAGAGTGGTTTACCCAGAGGCATGTAGCTATAAAGTTGTAGTCTGGGATTTGAACCCAGGGCTTCTGCTTTTATTTAGTAAGAGCCAGGGATGGACTGGATGCACACTCTTATGGCCTGTAATGCGGTGCTCTTTCCAGTATGTCAATGCAAGCCCTGATACTTTGGCCAGGCAAGTTGTCACAAGAGCTAGGTTTCGCCATGCAGTTCTGGGCAAGACTTCTAACTCCACTGACCTTTAGTTTCCTCCCTTTCAGTTCCTAATGGCAATTTTGTTCTCTCTGAATACTTGAGATGGTTGGGAGGAACAAACAAGGTAAAGACTTTGTAAACTGTAAAGTACTTGGAAATGCAAATGATTCATTCCCTGTAGAATGCCAGCCACCATGTTTAATGGCACTTAAAGAATTGGGTGCCTTTTATACACTGTTCCTTGACTAAGAGACCAACATGTAATTGTCTTCAAGGACTGAAAATCAATTCATGCTTTTCAGATGGGCTAGTGCCTTACAAATTTTGGGAGAACTAGATGATGACCTTGAATGATAGGAATGGGGCAGATGGGGAGGGCGGAATGACTGACCATCAAGCCCTCTGAGACATTTCAAGCCCATGACTGCAGACTTATCCTAGAAACTGGTCCTCACTGACAGTGACCCAGGGAGCAATGCTGTACTTACAAATGTCTTTGTGTTGAGTGGAGAGATGATAAACTCACCTCTACTCATTCTTCTGGCTAAGACTCAAAATAGTTTCTCTGTTAGTAGTTACTACATACAAATTTACCAAACTCATTCTATTTAAAAAATATTTAGGAGTATAAGCAAAAGGGAGCCAAGACACTCACCATTAGGTATCGGGATGGAGCTCTCTGGGCTCCACTCACTCCAGAATCCATGGTCTGGCTTGCAGTGAACCTGAACAAGGTATTTCTGCCCTGGATATAAGCTGAGAATCTTAAACTGAGTCTGCTGCCCAGCGAAATGAGTCTAAGGGAGACCAAGGAAAACAGAAGTCACTCTGACTTGTGTTATGAAGAAAGAGACTTTTTCTTTAGGCAGTAAACTATTGGAGGAGTGAGACCAAATGATCACACTTAGTAAATACCCTGTTCACACCATTCCACCCTCTCAGCCCAGCCCTTTCTCCTGTTAAATACTGCTCACACAAAAACCAACAGGCTTTCTATCTCTCCATTGGGAACTCTACTTCAGAAAGACAAATGTTCTGCTCCCTACACCTTGCTTTCTAAATTCTACATTATGGAAGGTGACTAGTTAATAAAATTGGAAAATTATTCTTTTCTAAACTCTAATAAAATAATTGATTCAAGGATCATTCACTGATGTAAAGCCACTAGGTGGAAGAGAACTGGGAATTCATGAACACTGAAGAAATTGTGCACAAATTAAACATGACTTTACAATCAAGGGATCAAGATGTGATCTCCCCGATCCAGGGGCCACTTTTAACATCATTTATGGTAGGTTGACCAGATGGTCTTTGTTTCCTGATATGATGGAATATGAAGCATATATATCACCTCTGAAGTTTTCTTACCAAAAATTGTTCACCTGGAATCTGATCAAGTCTTTAGATCTAATGTCTGGTTACAGGAAATATGGGGGCATAGAAATTGGTTAAATGACCTCACAAAGAACTAATCAGACAAATGCAGAAGGTGGGGCATTCTATGTGACAAGTGGCCCAGCCTCCTGAGCACGTTGAGAGTGAAGGGATATATCAGCCAGCCACAGTGAGTGATCCTGGAGTGGATTCTGGTTTGAACAAACCAGCTGTTAAAAATATTTTTGAATCAATTGGGGGAATTAAAACATGGACTGACCATTAAATGATATTAAGGGATTCAAAAAGATGATATTAAGGAATTTCAATTAATTTTCTACATGTGATCCTATTATTTAGGCTATATTTGGAAATATTCCCTTTTTAAAAGAGACATATACTAAACTATTTAAGAGTAGATTATCATAATGCCTATAATTTATTGTACTATTTGCTTACAATGAAGTATTTTAAAGTGAATAAAAATGCCATTAGCCGTGGACTGGTTACACTGAAATTTTTTCCTCCCACTTAGTGCCATTTAAGTACTCTCACAGATGTTAGATCTAAGATATCCTGAGGGAGGTGGGTCGAAAACTTGGCAGAAGTGGCTGTTCAGTTGCAAGGAGCTAGTCATGGGAGAGCTGTAAAGATGAGCCCCCATCCATCCCAGTGGAGGGGAGAAGGCCCTTCCACACATGGGTGGGTAACATCAGCATCAGGAAGGCAACGTGGTGGCCCAATAATTAGGGGGCATGACCTATTCTCAGTTGGAGTACTTCATCTTTGCCAAAGGACAGGGTTCCCTCCAAAAGCTTCCGGTTGACTCACCTCCCACTCAGCTGCCTTCTCAGGTTTTAATCGAATTTCATACTGGAGTGTGAGCCAACCAGATCTTACATCAACCAGGGTGGGTGGAAACCATTTTATCCACAGATATGGTTTTCTGTCTTCTGGCTGTTTTAATTCCAGAGTCAGGTTCACAGGAGGGTCTGGTTCAACTGTAGATATGAAAGAAACTCCATATTTAGTCAAATATGGGTATTTGAATCCAGAACTATATGACTTAGAGGCAGATCTCTCTATCTTTTTTATCTCCATGGTTATGAGACACTTGGTATTTGATGTCAGGTTCCTTTAAGTACAGGTCTGTGAACGCCTCCTTAAGAGTGAGGTGCCTAGACCATACTCCCCAAAGGAATCTACAGATTTAGTGTGACACCTATCAAATTACCCATGACATTTTTCACAGAAGTAGAACAAATAATCCTAAAATTTATATGGAACCATAAAAGACCCAGAATTGCCAAAGCAATCCTGAGGAAAAATAACAAAGCAGGAGGCATAACCCTCCCAGACTTCAGACAATACTACAAAGCTACAGTAATCAAAACAGTCTGGTATTGGCACAAAAACGGACATATGGATCAATGGAACAGAATAGAGAGTCCAGAAATAAACCCACACACCTATGGTCAATTAATCTTCAACAAGGGAGGCAAGAATATACAGTGGAGAAAAGACAATCTCTTCAGCAAGTGGTGTTGGGAAAGTTGGACAGCCACATGTAAATCAATGAAGTTAGAACACTCCCTCATACCATGCACAAAAATAAACTCAAAATGGGTTAAAGACAAATATAAGACATGACACCATAAAACTTTCAGAAGAGAAAGTAGGCAAAACATTCTCTGACATAAATCGTACAAATGTTTTCTTAGGTCCGTCTACCAAGGCAATAGAAATAAAAGCAAAAATAAACAAATGGGACCTAATCAAACTTACAAGCTTTTGCACTGCAAAGGAAACCATATACAAAATGAAACGACAACGTACAGAATGGGAGGAAATACTTGCAAATGATGCAAACAACAAGGGCTTAATTTCCGAAATATACAAACAGCTCATACAATTCAATATCAAAAAAAAAAAAAAAACAAATAACACAAAGCAATTGAAAAATGGGCAAAAGACCTAAATAGACATTTCTCCAAAGAAGAAATACAGATGGCCAACAGGCACACGAAAAAATGCTCAACATCGCAAATTATTAGAGAAATGCAAATCAAAACTACAATGAGGTGTCACCTCACACCGGTCAGAATGGCCATCATTAAAAAATCTACAAATAACAAATGCTGGAGAGGGTGTGGAGAAAAGGGAACTCTCCTACACAGTTGGTGGGAATGTAAATTGGTGCAGCCACCATGGAAAACTGAATGGAGGTTCCTCAAAAATCTAAAAATAGGGTTGCCATATGGTCCAGCAATCCCACTCCTGGGCATATATCCAGTCAAAACTATAATTCAAAAAGAAACATGCACCTCTATGTTCATAGCAGCACTATTCACAATAGCCAAGACATGGAAACAACCTAAGTGTCCATCAACAGATGAATGGATAAAGAAGATGTGAGACACACACACACACACACACACACACACACACACACACACACACTGGAATACTACTCAGCCATAAAAAATAATGAAATAATGCCTAGAGATTATCATACTAAGTGAAGTAAGTCAGAAAGAGAAAGACAAATACCATATGATATTACTTGTATGTGGAATCTAAAATATGATACAAATGAACTTATCTACGAAACAGACTCATAGACATACAGAACAGACTTGTGGTTGCCAAGAAGGAAGGGGGGTGGCAGAGAGATGGAGTGGGAGTTTGGGATTAGGAGATGCAAACTCATATATCGAGTGGGTAAACAACATGGTCCTACTGTATAGCACAGGGGACTATACTCAGTATACTGTGATAAACCATAATGGAAAAGAACATGAAAAAAAACACACATATATATACATGTATCACTGAATCACTTTGCTGTACAGCAGAAATTAACACAACATTGTAAATCAGCTATACTTCAATAAGATAAATTTAAAAGAAGAGTGAGGGTCCTAGGGTGCTAGCTTGCCTTACCCTAGTCTCAGCCCCGCTGGCCAGTCCCATTTTCTCCATTCATTTCTTACCTCCTCAAATCAGTCTCCACTACAGGTGAGGCCAGAGTGAGCGTAACTCTAGCGGGCTTGGCATTACACCCTACACTTGCCTAAAAAAAATAGCTTTAGAAAATTTGCCACTAATCCTAATGCTTGTATGTTACTAAGTAAATACCTAAGAAAGATTGTTTTATATGGCCTTACTAAATAAATATCAGTTATTTAATATACGTTTTAATTTGAACACAAGACTGAGAAATGCTGATCAAAACATCTTTGTACAAAGGTGCAAGTAAAATGTTCAAGATGAATCCTTGAAAGCAAAGTTTCTCAACCTCAGCATTATGTGTATTTTGGACCAGATAATTCTTTGTGGTAGGGGCCTTCCTGAGCACTGTAGGACGTTAGCAGCATCTCTGGCCTCTCCCCATTAGAGGCCCTCTCTCCCTGTGTTGCAAGCTTCAGAAATATTTCCCGCCATTGCCAAGTACCCTATGGGAGGCAGAGAGTACCCAGCTGAGAATCACGTTTCGAGTGTCTTCAGCATAGCTAAATATTTCTCAGTGACAACAGTGAAATCTGTTTCTGAGAGATTATGTGCCAGTATCTTGTACTGCAGGTTATCACTGGATGAGATTCAAGTTGGTAGACTTTACTGTGGTTAAAACTGCGTTGTAAATGAACTTCTGTGGCCTGTCACCAACACGGTATGCTGCGGGGTTATATGAGAATCCCATGAACACTTCTTTCATTATTTTGAAAAGTATGGCCCAACACATTCTTTCACCAGAGAATTTGTTTTCCAGAGTCACTATGAATTGGATCCATTCATTCATTTCACTTTTTAAACATACTACTTTTCTTTAGTGATCCCATTTTTGTTTTTGTGGATAATCTTCATTACAGCAGTTGTGCATTTCAGAGCTTCTCTTGCTTTCACTGTTTTGACCTTAAATATTTTAACACTTGAGGGCAGAATATTTGAGGACAAGGACATTTAAGCAAGAAACTACGCAAATGGAATTATTTGGTGTTTAGCCTTTTAAAGACTTCATATCTCAAGTAAATTTATATGAATGGAATTTATTTTATTCCTACTTGTCAGTGGGGTTACTTTTTGATTTTCTTAAGCTAAGATCAAATTCTGTTTCCATCCCCATGCTCATTGCAATAATTTGCTGGGGAGAGACAGAATTCAAATGGGTACCAGTTGATGTTGCAAGCTTTTCTAGTTTTTAAGGATCAATCACTGATAACACGCCAATGGGATGACATACAGCCCGATACTTGAGAGTCCTAGCCTGATTTTCCTTGTCGGTTGGTGTTAGGTAAGTCAGGAAGACTTGGGTGACCTTGAACTTAATTAGCTACTCCTTAGGTTAGCTAAGGCCAAGTCATCTCTTGTGGGCAGAGCAGTTTGGAGCAATTCCTGTGGGTGGAGAAGCAGATGAGACTCTTCTAAGAGCTGCTACTCCATGAAGCAGCTCTGTCTTTCAGGGAGAGAAATCTCAGAAAAGAAATCCCAGCTTGCCAAGAGAGAAGGGGACATCGGTCGCAGGGGGAGGGCTGGAGAGAAGGATTGATAAGGGAAGCTAAGTAGAACATTCCTGTTGGGTGCAAGGGGTTGGGAAGAAGGGTCAAAGGAAGGCATAAGGATTTTACTGTCTTACCATCATAAATAAAAATTGGTTTACTCAGCCATAAAAAAGAATGAAATAATGCCATTTACAGCGATATGGATGGACCTAGTGATTATCATACTGAGTGAAGTAAGTCAGACGGAGAAAGACAAGTATTATATGATATCACTTATTATGGAATCTAAAAAAAGGATACAAATGAACTTATTTACAAAACAGAAATAGAGTCACAGAGGTAGACAACAAACTTATGGTTACCAAGGGGGAAGGAGGGGGAGGGATAGATTGGGAGATTGGGATTGACATATACACACTACTATATATAAAATAGGTAACTAATAAGGACCTACTGTATAGCACAGGAAGCTCTACTCAATACTCTGTAATGACCTATATGGGAAAAGAATCTTAAAAAGAGTGGATATATGTATATGTATAACTGATTCACTTTGCTGTACACCTGAAACTAACACAACATTGTAGATCAACTAGACTCCAATAAAAATTAATTAAATCTAAAAAATTGGTTTAAAACACTCAGTTGGCAAGGATGGTGTGAATTTTCTCATCTTTCTTTATGGGAATCTATCCATAAGCCAAGAAGACTCAAACTGAGTTTGACTATTGGTAGATTCATATTGGAGTAACAAATTCCTCACCAATCACCCTTCCCCTTACCTATGTAAGTCACGTCCACGTAACGTGGATCCGAGGAACTGCTTCCCATCTGGTTCGTGGCGTTTACTGTGATGATGTATATCGTCCATATGGAGGTGTGCTTCTTGTTAAAGTAGCAGGAGTTGGGACCACCAGTTTTGTAGTCCGGACATTCATGGGTGAATGTCTCTCTGCAACGAGTAATATATTAGGAGTCAGTAAGAAAGTGATAAAAAGAGTCTAGTTTTTTCTTAATAGATCAATACCACTGGATTTTGGGGAACAGGCATCCCAGATGCAAAAACCAGAGCTGAAGAAGGTCTCCCCAAGTTCTTCTGTCCTGCCCATGTCAGCTGGGGGTGACAAAGGGAAGAGAGTGCTGGAGAATGGGTGGCAGGGTCACATCAGAGCCCCAGTGACTCTGTTTCTCACCAACCCTTCCTGTCTACGGGTTGCTGTGGGCTTTGTGATATATGCCCCCTGCCAATGAACACTTGAGTTTTCTGTGGCCAATGCACCGCTTTCCTCAGGGAACCACCATTGGGTCATCTCAGGACACTGGGACTTTCCCCTGCACATACACACGGGGTGGGGGTAATGCACGAGGCAACATTTATTGCACATATGTTTTGAATTACATTTCATTAAAAAAGATTAAAGGGAATACAAGCTGCAGGGTATTTCCAATTACACTAAGTCAGCCACAGAGAAAAGTGCCTCTGAAAGGAGATATTTCAGCCCCAAGAGGCTCCTTAGACTGCTCACGTTTAGACTTGGGGGCCTCCACGCAAGACTCACCACAGAGGTGTGCAGGCGTATTCCACTTTGCTCGCCACTTTGAGTCCCTGAGATCTGTTTGCCTGACACCCCTTTGGGTCCCAGAAGGGATGGCAGCTTTGTGTACCACTGAGTCCTGTCACTGGGAAGTGAGCCAGCTGTTTCTACTAGTAAATCTTTTCTTCACTGGGGAAGGATACAGCCGTCCCTGGATTTCCAGGAGGGTCTCATTGTAACTGTGACGAACTCCTTGCCCAGAGATCACCCTGTTTACTCTGCACTGCAATTTTAGCTCCCAATATGTCTTCTGGGAGATCATGGGTCCATGGATTTCCTAAGGAAAACACCTCATCTTCCTTTTCTTGTAGGGCTTGTTATTTTCTTGCACAAGAATCAAGTTCGAAAAGCTAATGTACCACGGTTGTCAAAGATTACATGATAATACTCTTAGGTTACAAAAGTAATGATTACAAAAAATGATAAATGGCACAAGGTTGATAGATAAGCATCTGCAATTAACTAGCACTTAGGAAACACTTATACGTGACCTTGGGCTACGGCCTAAACTTAGGACAGGCAATGAGAGCATTGCTGGATTGTGTTGCCGAGGTGGTGGCTGAGCTTATGCGCGTGAGGGAGCTCGGCAGGGACATTAAGAGGAAGACGTGGAAGCGTATGTTTGATTCCCTTCCTCCAGTAGCAGGAGTCTTATCGGTGTCCGTTCAGGGAAGCGTGGCAATTAACCCAGAGTCAGTGTTCCTGTGGCCTGGAGAGTGAGGACATCCAGGTGCGCTTTGCTAGGAGAGAAGAAAACGCTTACCCTTCCTTGTGGTAAGTCAGCGTGTAACTGGTAGGTAATCCTCCGTCTGCCCCAGGCTTCCACCAGCAGGTGAATGTTTCCTTTTCGGGAGAACGACATTTAAAGATCTCAGGTTTTCCAGGAGGTGACTGTCCTAGAAAAAGCCAGAAGCCACTGGCGTCAATATTAAGGTCTGTTCAACTCTCTGACCATTTTGCTGGTGACAGAAGCAGACTGATGGGGCCAGGCCAGTGATGAGGTCTCGGCGGGAGTAGGCCTAGGGGTGGAGGGCTCAGAAGTGCCAAGGTGTCAACATCCAGCAACACTCCTCTGTGGGCTGCGCTGAAGTTGGCAGGACTCAGAGAGAGAGCTTTGCGGTGGGGGGGTGTGTGTGTGCGTGTGCGCGCGCGCGTACTGTGAGATGGAGATACTACACTACTGGAGATACTACACTACTACACCATGTAGTTTCAACAACAGTGAGCATCAAGAGTGCTAGGGATACATATGGACTGAGAAAGAGGATGTGGCCCTTCTATAATCCCATGGAGTCTATGGAGCGGATACACACCCACAGCCCCATAAAAAGAATTCTTCCCCAGGCACAAGCATCCTGTGGTCATTTGCTAATCCAATGCTCTCTGGACCTCTCCCCTCTGGCTCACTAACCACCATCTTTCTGCCATTTCCACACAATGAACCCAGCTCTCTTCTCTTGTTCTTTCACTGTATCACCGAGGCTCCTCCTTGAGCTGCTTCCTCCCCATCTTCTCTGTCCCTTCCTTTTCCCCTTCACTATTCCTTGATTCCATTCTTTTTTTTTTTTTTTTTTTTTTTTTGGTTTTCGTGCCTTTTTCTTTTTTTTCCTCTACCGTTGCGGAACACAGGCTCCGGACGCGCAGGCTCAGCGGCCATGGCTCACGGGCCCAGCCGCCCGCGGCATGTGGGATCTTCCCGGACCGGGGCACGAACCCGTGTCCCCTGCATCAGCAGGTGGACTCTCAACCACTGCGCCACCAGGGAAGCCCTCCATTCAGATTTGACCTCCGATTCAGCATCACAGGCTGGCTCCCCATCCTCCCTGCCTCCATTTCCTAATTTGGGTTTTTGGTCCCTTTTCCCTTATATTTCTCCCTCTCCCCCTGGGTCTTTATGGGTAGGAGGCATGGCAGCTCCTACAGGTGGCTGCTCTTGCGGTTACTAGCTACCATCATTATCTAGGAGCTGTACTTAGTCCCAGCTGGAAGCTAGCAGGGCTGAAAGAGCTGATGTGGAAAACCCAATGCCAAGTGGATGAAGGTTTTGAGTTCCCTAATCCCCAAAGCTCTTGGTGAGCTGGCTCCCTCTTCTACTCCTTGTCTGTCAGGTCCAAAGAGGGAAACAGTGGCCCTGATGCTGCTGGGCTGGGGGCCCCATCCACAGCGAGCCACGTAACCCCAGTTGGTGTTTAGTTCAGGAAATCAGGAGCAGAGAGAAGAGCTTCCAGGTGGTGGTCCCTCAGCCTCTGGGGCTTCTCTGTTTTCTGCCACACTTGCCCTTCACCCCTCACGCTGGCTCCCGGGTAGAACTGCTAGCAGGTCAGAAAGAGCAAGTTTGGAGGAGAACACAGGTGGGAAGACAGGGCACTAGGCAAAACCGCTGGAAAGAACTGAATGGAATGGGACGATGCGGTGCACAGGCTGGGGCCGAGGTCACCAGGCTGTGTGTCAGCCGGAGCCCAGCCACCTCCCAGCCCCCCGAAAACGGTCCACGCCAGACAGCCTGGGGCCAGCTCTGCCAATGTTTGTAATGTTGCTGTCCTCTAGGGAACATTTCTTCAGGGTAATTTCACAGGATGAAGCGATCTTTTGTTTGTTTGTTGTTGTGGCTATAGGGAGGAGTATGTGAGGTAGAAAGGAAAGTTTACTTTTAAAAAAGCACAAAACTTATGGCTCAATAATGGGCATATTTAGAAACCAATTAAGGCCACTGTTGATTATTTGAATACTTAAAATTTCCTTATGGATTATACTGATCTCTGCAGTCCTTTTTCTCTGAAAGCTTCTCTCTCTCACATTTCACTGGTTATTAATAGTACCTGGAGGAAGCTCAAGAGAGGAGGGTAAAGTTGTGAAATTATAATTAGTTAAATGTTTCTTTCACCCGCTTTAGAGGAGATGGTTACAATGAATGGACTGTCTCACTATCCCTGTAAAATGCACACCAACACAGGAACAACCACAGAGGCACCACACAGGCACACACACACACACACACGCTCAAATAGAGCCCATATCAGAAGCACACCCACATACCACAGAGGAGTAATATACACAGGTGCATACTTGTAGAAGTATACACCGGTACACACACAGGTACATACACAGAAATATACACCCACAAATGTGTACACAGACAGGTATACCCAGAGAAGCATTTGCAATCAGGCACATATAGGGAAGTTAAGATATACACAGGTATACAAAAGTATACACACCCAGAAATACGCAGTGGTAGATACACTGAAATGTACACACACAGGCTCACACACTCTAGTCTAGTTGTGAATTTCATTTCCCCATAACAGAGTTGGCTCTATACCCATTTCCCACCATGTAACAGCAATCCCCTTATAACTCTTTACAGGTTTTCAAAGATTTTTCTCACACACCTTTTCATCTGAGGTGGAAGAAACATCACTATTCTCACTTTGAAAATGTATAAATCCAGAGAGGTTAGGTAATTGGCTCAAGGTTGCACAGCTAGTAAGGGACAGAACCTGAACTGAAACTTTGGTCTGTTGTTGGTAGAGCTCTTTCCCTGCGCTCCCAGAATGAGGATGGAAGTCAGAGCATAGTGACAGGATTTTGCATTAATTGCATTCATTCTTTTGCATTCGTTTTAATCCCCAAAATATTGTAAATAATTTAATAGCAGCAAATGACATGGACATTTTCATTTCTCGTAACTGCATTGCAAGAGGACTGTGATGGATTCTCCCCTCCTCTCATATAAACACCCCAGGGAATGAAAGAGAATAGGACAGTCTCTTACTTACCATTCAGAAGGTTGGTGTTGAGAAACAGTAGCAAAATGAAAACCACTGTGGATGCCACATTTTCCTTCATGTTGGCTCCCTTCTCTTTCCACAGGAAATGGATCAGAGGTTCACTGAAAGAGAAGGCACAGGCAACTTTTTTGAAACGACAGTCGGTTAGGCACATGCACCACTTTACTCTGGGTGTTTGCAACTGATTCTTGCTCCTTGCTGAACGTGAATAACAAAACAGGAGGAAAGGAATGTAGGAAAATGTGACAAGGATGGCTTGGCTCAGAAGCATCGCTGCACACATGCTGGGAAAAATGCCACCACCAGAGGTCATCAGATGACAACGTTCAAGGGCAGCCCAGCCACAGCTGGCTCTTTGCACACACCCCCAGGAAAAATTGTTCTCTTTGCACCCCACAGTCACTTAACGATAGATCACCTGTTTTACGTGACATAGATTGTAGTCCCTACAAAAGAATTGTTCTGGGAGGTCTTTGATCCTCCAGCCAAAATTAAGCCTGGCTGAAAAAGTCAGTGCATTCAGTTTAACTCCAACCTGGCCTCACGGATGCCACCAAGTAAGGGGGGCTTCGCCTGAAGGTTCAGGTTGAGAAGACTCTGGAAGCCTTCTGGGCTATGGGCATGGCTGTGAACGATGCAGTGAACTCTAGTGAACCTCCACATGGTTCCTTTCTCCCCTTTGGAAAAACCCCATAAACAAGAAATGACAAATCCCAGTAATAATTCAAGTCCCTTGGGTTTGAAGAATTAAGCAAATTTTGAACCTGCAGGGGTTGAGAGTTTTGAGAAATTTATTATTATATTATTATTTTTACCCTTGGAACAACTTTTAAAGCCTCTAAATGTTCTTCTAAGAAAAAAGGATTTTTAAAGACATTTGGAAAAGGCTCATTAGTCTTTTTGGACTCCACACAACTCTCAGAAAACAATAGATTTGATGAAGTAAGTGTAAATTCTTGGAAACCCATGGCTTACATTTTCCCTTTAAAATTTATGGGTTTTTTTAAATCAGGGGAAGGGCATCCAGGGGCAAGGCTGCCCGTCTAGGGACGTTGGAAATGACTGAGTGCTGTTTGACGAGCCCTGAAAAGACCAGCCTTCCTTTGTCCATTCCTCCTGGTCAGAGGGCGGATCACCATCTGCCAGCCTCACACCACCTAACAGACAACTTCTTCAAGCCTTCCACCTGCAACTACTCCCTCTGCGATGTACTCGGAAATAGAAATCTTAGTGACAGTAGAGGTTCGGTGCACACAGGCGCCATCAGGCGACTCTCTCATAACTGGAGCTCCTGGGTCAGTAACAACTCCTGTGAAGTAGCCAGTATCCTGTTCTTTGGGAACCTTCTAGTTGCTTTTTCAGGATTCTTTTTGAATATCCTCCCAGGTTACACGTTCTAAGCCACCTGCTCTATCTAACCCCTCAGGGTCATCTAATTAAACCAAGATGCTAAAGGCTCATAATGGGTTTCAAGTCATTCCTCCTATGTATGGAACACTTACCATGGGCCAGGCATTGTGCTGAGTGTCTTTTAAAAAATTTTTTTCGGCTGTGCTACGCAGCATGTGGGATCTTAGTTCCCTGACCAGGGATCGAACCCGCACCCCCTGCATTGGAAGGGCAGAGTCTTAACCACTGGACCGCCAGGAAAGTCCCTGCGCTGAGTGTCTTAATCATCCAGATTGCACTGAGCCCTCACAATACCCCTGTGCGTAGCATGGGCTATTACAATCCCCCCTTTTTTAAATTTAATTTTTATTTTATATGGGAGTAGGTTCATTTACAGTGCTGTTTCAGGTGTACAACAAAGTGGTTCAGTTATACATATACATATATCCACTCTATTTCAGATTCTTTTCCCGTATAGGTTGTGACAGAATATTGGACAGAGTTCCCTGTGCTATACAGTAGGTTCTTGTTGATTATCAATTTTATACATAGTAGTGTGTATATGTTTATCCCAGCCTCCTAATTTACCCCTCCCCCCAACCTTTCCCCTTTGGTAACCATAAGTTTGTTTTCTAAGTCTATGAGTCTGTTTCCTTTTTGTAAATAAGTTCATTTGTATCATTTTTAAAGATTCCACATGTGAGTGATATCATCTGATATTTGTCTTTCTCCGTTACCACCCCTTTTAACAGAAGAGGAAATGGAAGTGTAGAAAGGCGTAGTAAATTGTCAGTCACGTGCCATTGGGAGAGAGGAATCTGGCAAATCTGAGAGCGTCTGATGAACCATCCTCATTTGTGGACAGTGTGTGATGAACGTGCAATTATTCCCCATTCTGTGGGGGAGACCACAGTGACTGAGTCAAGGTGAATAGCACCCCAGCCTCGAACGGGTGTGGAGTCAACAGAGCCAAGGCTCAGCGAGCTCAACCGCCATACTTGTGCCTGAGGATCTCAAACACTGCTGTTCTCCCTAATCCAGCTTCACTGGATCCATCTAGACCTGAAAGAGTTTTTTTGTCCTAAAGATCTGATCTCAGCCTGGCTTGGGGATGGGAATTCTACCTACTGGCTGAAGAAGCTCTATAATATCCTTTTATTGAAACTTCCCTTCTCTTTTTGCATCAAAATACTTGAGATCAACTGCTATAAATCACACCTTTTGGGCGAGGTCACGTGCTAACTAGACAGCTCTTCCAAATCAGGGCTCCACGTGTTTTGAAAAAGAAATGCCTGGATGGGGAGCAGGGTGGAGCAGGCAGGAGCAGACACTTTCATCACTTATGCTTCCTGGTATGCTGGTCCAGCCTCAAAGAAACTCTCCTAAATAAAGTTTTCCGATAAAAATGCTTTCAGGAAGCATTTTATAAACTAAAAAGAAATGAGCTCCTCTGGGATTTCCTAAGGTATCCTGGAATCTGTTGACTAGCCACGGGTAGTTTCTGACGCCTTGAAACCCCCATGTCAGGGAATTGGACACACTCATAGTGGTCTCATTACTGTGTTTCAATATATAATGATTCCCAACCCAACCTGCAACTGACTCTCCAGCAGGGTAAACACAGTGGGGTAAGTAAACCTTCAGAGAGAAAGATAACCTCAACTGCCCACTTTGCTGTGCTGACTGTTAACCTGACCATCTATTGTGGTCTCTCCCCACACTAGGCATACCTCCTGCTGTCCACTGATCATTTTTATGGCTGGTGGACATGAGGCTGGGGATAAACTTGGTTTTTGTCTCAGACTAAAAATAGAGTTACAGTATGATCCAGCAATCCCACCCTTGGGCATATATCCGGAAAGGACAACAATTCTAATTCGAAAAGATACATGCACCCCAATGTTCACAGCAGCACTATTTACAACAGCCAAGACATGGAAGCAACCTAAATGTCCATCAACAGATGAATGGATAAAGAAGATGTGGTGTATATATACAGTGGAATATTACTCAGCCGTAAAAAAGAATGAAACAATGCCATTTGCAGCAATGTGGATGGACCTAGAGATTATCATACTAAGTGAAGTAAGTCAGACAAAGACAAATATAATATGATATAACTTACATGTGGAATCTAAAAATGTTGATACAAATTAACTTATTTACAAAACAGAAACAGGCTCACAGACATGGAAAACAAACTTATGGTTACCAAAGGGGAAGGTCGGGGGGAGGGATAAATTAGGAGGTTGGGCTTAACAGATACCACTATACATAAACAACAAGATCCTACTGTATAGCACAGGGAACTATATTCAATACCTTGTAATAACCTATAATGGAAAAGAATCCAAAAATGAATATTATTTGGGTCAGGTACTATATTCAGATCTGAAGTCTGACTCACTTTGCTGTTTGCTGTACACCAGAAACTAACACAACATTGTAAACCAACTATACTTCAATAGAAAAAGTGTAAATAACTTAAAAAAATTTGTTTTTGTCTCTCTGAGTCAACTCCCCCGTTGCAGCAGGATCTTGGTCAAGATTATTCACCCTAAGTGGGGCTGGAGCATCTGAAGAGCGTCCACAGACCGCTTTTAGTGGTGGTTATAGTGGTAAATGGCTCCAAATACTTGGAGTCCAACTAGGAAAAAGTTAGCCCTGTACTCCCACCAGAGGACAGTTATCTTGGTTTCACTCCTCTGCTCCCCTAGTGTGACTGTGGTTTAAAAATGCAAAAATTAAAACTGAAAAGCAGGTCCGTAGCAAGTCAGCAGCCTCCACGCCTTGCCCATGACAAACTGTCTTAGCTTCCTCGCTTCTGAATCCTCAGAGACCCTCCCATCTTTATGCTCCTCAGTAATCTTATTCAAATATGCCTTCTCACGGTGCTATGTCCCACTCTGGTATGACCCCACAAACCCTCTTCTTCCTCACCTTGCTCTGCATTAATGCTCATCCGGTTCAGATTCTCTATCCAAACGCTTCCCTTCATCACTCTTTTCCTTTAAGCCAAGTCTCATCTACACAGGCCAAGAGTTGAGAAAGCAGGGGCAGGACAAGAGTGGAGACGCAGATGTAGAGAATGGACTTGAGGACACGGGGAGGGGGAAGGGTAAGCTGGGACGAGGTGAGAGAGTGGCATGGACATGTATACACCACCAAATGTGAACTGGATAGCTAGTGGGAAGCAGCTGCATGGCACAGGGAGATCAGCTCCGTGCTTTGTGACCACCTAGAGGGGTGGGATAGGGAGGGTGGGAGGGAGACGCAAGGAGGAGATATGGAGATATATGTATACGTATAGCTGAGTCACTTTGTTATACAGCAGAAACTAACACACCATTGTAAAGCAATTATACGCCAATAAAGATGTTAAAAAAATATAACAGACCTGAGCTTTCACCCTTTACCCCCTGGTAGACTTTATCTGCATATGCTGGCTCATCCAGGCCCCGAGACAATCCCAAACGCCAGAAATCTCAGCCCTACCATTTTGTGGGACTTGCTCCCAAGACCTGGTGCCAGGTGGTCTTGAAGTGAATGCAATTCTCACCTTGTCTTGCCTCATCTGCTACTGTTGCCCCAATGCTCTACTCAGACTTTGACTCAGTTTCCCTGACTCTAGAAATGAGCCTAGCGTGCTGGGCAGGGATTCTGAGGACCTACCTATCTCTTGGAAGCCCAATTCCCATGGATAAGCAGGGCC